GATTAACTAATTTTAAATGTGAAATACACATTTTCATGCATATTTTTAAAACACCAAAGTGCTATGTATGTAAATATAAAAGTTTAGGTGGGAGATTAGTAAATACATAGGAAATGTGTGATTGCTATGTAAATTTTCCTTGATATAACATAGGTTTAGCTGTCCGGCAATGAATTAGCTTAAATTTTAAGTTTTTTTATACATATAATACTTTGCCTTTTTATAATATATTATATTATGCATTCTGGCGTTCATGCATGGTTTTGGTTCGGCGTAGAAGATTGCTTCTTTGACACTGTTGTAAAGCCTTGTTGTAAAACATTTAATATCTAACTTGAAATCTTCTTTGTATCAACATTAATCACATGAATGGTGCAGATTTGAAGAACTTCTTGTTTATTTTTGGAATAGTGTTTTTAATTTACAATCTTTGGAAATATGCTCCATTTGTTTATTTAGCATGATTTATTTCTACATGGAATTTATTAGAAAGAGTAACCTTAGATGGTTTGGTCACATTAAACATCAGCCATTTGATGACCCAGTTAGTAGAGTTGATGTTTTAGATTCGACTTTAAGAAAGGCGGAGGTAGACCTAGGAAGACTTGGGCTTATTGTATAAAAGATGATCTTAATTTATTAGAACTAAATGAAAATATGACACTAAATAAAACTCAATGGAGAAATGCAGAATCATGGAACTTCTCAAATCAATCACATAGATCTACACGCAGAAAGCTATCTTTGAACCTTAAAAGCCTCTCTTTCAAAAATCGAGATGAGATTGGTCATTATATTGTTGTTGCAAACAGCTCGACTGCGTGTGGTCGAAATGATCATTTTTTCAAAAACAACTATAAATAAGATGTTTGCAAAACGCACAAACCAAACGCTAAATAGCTTATCTAAAACAGGGGTAGAATGATTATTTCTTCAGAATTAGATGGTTTTTATATGCACAAACCAAACAACCAGACAGCTTATCTGGATCAGCTACTCATCAGCAGATTATCAGGATAAGCTGCTTATCAGCAGAAGCTGGATAAGCTGCAGCTGCCCCCAAACAGACCCGAAGTCTCCGGCTGGCTATGCATTTTTGACAGCGGCTCCATCGATCGCACATGGATCGATGCTCCAGAAGCTCCCCACCTAATGTCTTTTGTCCTACTCCGGACACTCCCTCAGTGGACTCCCTGGCCACCCCACCCTCTGGGTCTACCTCCCTTCCCATCTCCTTCCCAAGGCACCTGTCCTTCTCCTCTTCCGGAAAAATTTTTCCATATGGAGTGCGGAAGACCATGTGGGCTTCACCGGCCCACCTCAATAACCCCAACATAATAATTTTAATAACCTCTTCAATAGCGCCGCAATAACTCCCCAATAATTCTCAATAACACTTCGCGGTGAACCGCACCAATAACCTCATCAGGTCCACTTCAATAGCCCCCGCAGGACAACTCCAATAAGTCCTCAATAACGCCATAATAACCCTTTAATTATAATGTGACTAGCGTTTGATTCCATTAGAGAAACAAAGTGTTATTGAAGGGTTATTGCAGCGTTATTGGGGACTTGTTGGAGTTATTCTGTGAGGGTTGTTGAAATGAAATCACTGAAGTTATTGGAGCGGTGCACCGTGCAGCGTTATGAGGGGTTATTGGGGGATTATTGTGGCATTATTGAAGAGTTATTGAAATTGTTCTGAGGGGGTTATTTAAGCGGGCGGCGGTGTTATTGAAGGGTTATTGCGGCTTTATTGAGAACTTATTTTAGTTGTTCTGCGGGGGTTGTTAAAATGAAACCGCAGAGGTTATTGGAGCGGTTTACCACGCGATGTTATTGGGGGTTTATTGGAGGTTATTGTGGCGTTATTGAAGTCGTTATTGGAATTTTTCTACGAGGGTTATTAAAGTGTGACCATGGCGATATTGGATCAGTTCTTCGTGTGGAGTTATTGAAGGGTTATTACGGCGTTATTAGGGACTTACTAGAGTTGTTCTGCGAGGGTTAATGAAGTGGGAATATTGGAGCGGTTCACCGCGCGTTGTTTATGAGGTGGGTCTAGTGTAGAACACGTGGCAACATATTATTGGAGTCCACACGCAGAGCTGCGTCCTCACTCCGTATGGAAAAATTTCTCCCACTTCCGCGGTGGCATCTTTGAGATCTCCCACTTCTCTTGGTTAATGTACTACCATTTCTACGCATGAATCATATCATCCCTCTAAGCTATCGTTGTCCCAGACCAGCTTCCCCTTGCTCCCGAACAATGCCTTGCAGCCTATCATGTCTCTTTCCAAGCCCTCTTCCGTCTTCGCGAGGTCACACCCCTCCTCTCTTCCTAATAATTATACAAGAGAAGTACGTTCTGAGAGAGGTAGAGAGAATTGGAGAGTCAGATTCTGACATTTGCGAGCAGTAATGTTAGCCAGTCTACTACTGCATAGTCTAATTTGGAGTTATGGATGCAAGCCATGGGAAAGAAGAAGAAGACGGTCTATAGTCAGGGCACAAAGGGCATAGCATTTTTGGTTGAGCTCTATGGTGCATTTGTGGGCGGCTCAAGAGAGAGGAAGATGATTAAGAGTTTTATGATGTTACTCCGCCATAGGGTTTATGTAATTTTTTAGTACGTGAACAAACATTATTTGTTTAAATGTGAACTTTCATGAATTTAGATTAATATTTGTTACAATATATTTTTATTAATTGTTTGTATTTGTTTGTGATACAGAAAATCTTTTTATTAATTGTTTGTATTTGTTTGTGATACAGATTTTAGGTTGTGATGATGGATAAATAAATCATTATGATATTCATATTTGTTTTGTGCTAGTTGTGAAAGTTTAATCGTTCTTTTAAATTATTTTATTTGCTATATATTTGCATCGGACATTCTGACACTACTCCTTCAAGACGCTCTTTGATAGAGTACGACACAAATAAGATGCCAATTTGCAGCCGCAAGCTTTCGACTCAAATTCCATCATTAAAAATTGCACCGTCATGGGAAGCGTCAAAGCTAGATGATGGCAAGCTTGACGGACGCTTGTATTATTGATCATGATTTTAACGTCGACTATATATCCAGAGTAAATACAGCTTATGGGTGATTCAGTCCAATTATACTTACCCACTAATGATATTGTTTATGGAGTAGTAGAAGATCATAACACTATTACCTTTTAAAACCTGTATGTTGTAGAAAATCAGTTCAACGCTTCATATTCCAGTACTTGCAGCCTAGGCTTGAAAAACAACCCAAATTTTAACTGGGCTGATGATAACTATAGTGTAGAAAACCAATAGTAGTGAAACTCCCAATCCAACCCTATAGGAAATTTGAATAACCAAGACAGTAATAAATCGAGACAAACCTAACCACCAGGATTCCCCTTTAAAGCCCAGCCTAAAGACAATAAATCATTTTTGAAGGAGCTTAGTGTTATAGCTGGGGAACCAACTATAAAGCCACTTTGCAACCAAAGGAAAGAAAAAAGATCAACATGGGAAGTTAACTAATTCTACAAGTAATAGGTAGAATGTTAGAGAAAATATGAGTAAATATGAGAAAATAATAATAATAAATTTGTTGAAATAAATTAATAAAATAAATACAAACTGTAAGTAGTTATAAGAGAGTAAAAAAAAAAATGCAGCAAACCGCAGGCTTTACTCAAAATTTTATTTTTGAATAAAAAAAAAAGTTCATTTATAATAACGAGATGCTTTATTTTAAAATTTGTCCTTTCTCCATGGCTACAGCAGCCAACTCCACTTCGCAGCCACCGCCGCCGTTATCGCCGTCCACAACCTTGCCAGTACTCTCATCTCCGACGATCTCCAACGGCTTAAGCTTGTAAAACTTCGCACAAACAAGACAGTATACGAAGTTGAAAACTTGCAGCCCAACAACCAGCCAATAATAGTAATTCATTCTCCCCTTATTAATATTATTCTGCAACCAATCTCCCTCTTTTGTCCTCTTACTAAAATGGCTAACCAAATTCACCAGCAAAGACCCCCCATATTTCCCCAACGACGACGCCAACCAAAAAAGCGCAGCTGCCGTGCTCCTCGTGCTCTCCGGCGACTGGTGATACAAGAATTCCATTTGCCCCACCGAATAGAAGGCTTCGGCAACGCCGCTTACTGCATACTGCGGCACTAACCAGAAAACGCTGATAGGCACGGTGGCACTCGGGCTGTCAGTAAGGCCATGCATGGTGGCGGTGGCGCGTCGTCTTGTTTCGACGAGCGCGGCACAGATGTTTGTGATGATGGAGATTGCGAGGCCGATGCCGATGCGTTGGAGGTTGGAGATGCCTTGGGGACGGCGTGTGAAACGGCGGGCGAGGGGGGTGAGGAGGCGATCGTAGAGGGATAGAGTGAGGAGCATGGAGAGGATGGAGAAGATGGAGAGAGTAGCAGCGGGGATTTGGAAGTTTCCGGCGAGACGGCGGTCCATGGATTTGGCTTGGATGATGGTGAAGGAACTATTGTGGGAGGAGGCGGTGCTGATCAAGATGCCGACGGACCAAATTGGGAGTATGCGGAGTATGGATTTGAGCTCCTCGATACGGTGGACGGTGGATAGTCGCCACAGTCGTGGTGAGCCAGCGGCAGTGATGTCGGAATCTGTGAAGATTGCAGCCCGGTCCAAGCACCTGCGATTTGTTATGTTTAGATTTATTTAAAAATATGATTTTCGGTTACATGGGGATAATTTGACAGTTCCTCATATTCATGCTGTAAAAATCATATTATATATATATATATATATCTGTGTGTATGTATCATGTAATAGCCTTTCTGATTAATGATATTACATAGCCTTTTTGATTAATGATATTGCAACCGGGTGCTCATATGAGCGAAAAAATATTACTTCAGGAGTACTGATGCATCAGTACTCCAATGAGGGGGTGTCACGTAGGCACCACGGTGGGACCATTGCCTACGTGACACCCCCTCATTGGAGTACTGATGCATCAGTACTCCTGAAGTAATATTTTTTCGCTCATCTGTGAGTGCACCAAGGTAGCCTTTTGGTGTGTGTGTGTGTCGATAGATATTCAAAGGTTTTTTTTTTTTTTTTTGCATTTTTCAACACTCAAATTATTTAAACTTTATTCCAATGAAAATAAAAAATATGTTGAGGAAAAGTTGGAAAACAAAGCATAACAGAAAATGCTGATCAAAATATTGTTTGAACAGACAAGAATTGATTGAATTTATTTTAAAATAAGTTCAATATATAAACAATGGAGGAAAACTTAATATTTCAATCCTCCAAAAAATTATAAAATACAATTTAATAGAAAATTTGATGAGAATATCCTAACATTATTTTCTCATAAAAAAATTCTTTTATGTATACATCAGTATTGGTTCTTTTCTAGGATTTTAACAAATGATAAATTAAAACTTCTAAAAGGAGTTTTAGATAGCTTTTTTTTAATATGTTTGCTCAAAATTTTCTTCATTAATTTGGATATATTTAAATAAAAATTTTAACATAAGAAAATGAAATTTATGAGTTTAGAAAAGGATATTTAGCCCAAACACATAAATTATAGTTCACTCTCCATGCCTTAACAATACTCCCTAATACTCTGTCTTCCTCTAATTGGTACTTGCCATTAGCATATTCCAATTCCCCAAACACATATTTCTAAATGACTTTATATAGTTAACGCTTAAAGAGTAACAGTTTTTTGTTCTTTTTGACTTTGTCACACCAATAGGTCTGAAGATGGAGAAATATGTTAAGCTGGAGTCTGATTTCCCGTTCTCACCTTCCCTCCTCCCGATCGCGAACATCGCGTAACTGCTCCCACGAACACGCAAAGACTCCTGCTCCAGTTCGCAAAAGGTCACGACCCTGCTATTCGCAAATCGTTCTGTCGCGAACAGTCGTGACGTCTCCCTTCCTCCCCTCTTGATCGCCATAAAAGGCATCCACGCACGACTCTCCTTTTAGTTCTAAACACAACCTTTTATGTTCTTCTTCGGGCTTCCTCAGGATAGAAGAAGAAAGAAGAAGAAGGAGGTTGTTCTCTCTTGGCTTCTTCTTGGTGGCTTGTGACAAAAGAGAAATTGGGTATATTTCTATTGTAAGTTTATCTTCTTCGGTGTATCTCGGTGTAGAACTTCTTCGGTATATCTCGGTGTAGAGAGAGAAGAAGAGAGAGCAACGAAGTTCGAGATTCCTCTTGTAAGTCGAGACGATCGACTGGTGTAAATTTTTCAAGAGTTAAAATTTTCTGCAACTCTGTAAACATAGGCAATTTATCGAACCACGTAAATATGTGTGTTCTACTGTGTTACTGTTTTCTCGTGTGAATTTTTTTGTTCTATTTTTTTTATTTTTCGATCGTTCTCTTATTTTATTTCTATATATACACCATAACAACTGGAATCTATATTTCTCAACAACTGGTATCAGAGATTTGTTCAAATCTGAGGAAGAATGATGGCTGCAGATGAAGTCAAGGTTTTAGGGATCGAGAAGTTTTATGACACAGATTTTGGTTACTGGAGAATGCAGATAGAGAATTATCTCTATCGGAAGAAACTTCATCTTCCGTTATTAGGGAAAAGACCTGAAAGGTTGGATTAGACTGAATGAAATTCGTTGGATCGACAAGTTCTAGGGATTATTCAATTGACCCTATCCAGGTTTGTTGCACACAACGTCGTCAAGGAGAGGATGAATTAGATCTGATGGCAGCCTTATCAGGTATGTATGAAAAGTCATCGGTGAATAACAAGGTATACTTGATGAAGAAGTTATTCAATTTGAAGATAACAGAAGATGTTTATGTTGCTCAACATCTGAATGATTTCAATACTATCACAAATCAGTTTTCAACAGAAGATGTTTATGTTGCTCAACATCTGAATGAATTCAATACTATCACAAATCAGTTTTTGTCTGTTGAAATTGATTCTGATGAAGAGATACGTGTGATGATACTGTTGGCATCATTGTCAAATAGTTGGCAAGTCATGAGGATGACAGTTAGCAGTTCTGCAAGGAAATCTAAACTGAAATATGATAATATTAGTGATTTGATTTTATCTGAGGTGGTGCGCAGGAAAGATTCTGACGAGATCTAAGGTACGAGTTCGGCACTGAATGTTGATTTCAGAGGGAGATGGCAGGACAGGAACTCAAATAAAGGGAGATCAAAATCAAAGTTTGGTCAACAGACAACCTACTGGAATTGTGACAAGATTGACCACATAAAGAGGAACTGCAAAAATCCTAAGAAGATGGAGAATGATAGCGCAAAAGTGGTATTGAAGCAATACATGAGTACATGATGCATAGTACATGATGCATTATTGTTGACAGTTCATAGTTCAGTTGATGATGGAAGTGAAGAGGAGAGTGGGTCCGGGGCACCCATTTCTATTATTTCACAGACAAATGGTGGAGAACAACAGAGTTATGAAGAAATCTTGCAAGATGAAAGTTCGAGCAAGTGGGAGCTGGCAAAACTTCCACCAGGGAAGAAGACATTACACAACAATTGAGTTTACCAGGTGAAGACTGAGAGCGATTGTTGTAAGAGGTACAATGCTAGACTTCTTGGAAAAGGCTTCTAGCAGAGGCATGATATTGCCCATGCAGTGGGAGTTGTAAGCAGAGACTAGAGTAATATAGGAACATGTTGACTGAGGTTGTTACTCTTGGCTATGTTTTGGAGGTGCAAAGCTATGTTGACCCTGCTGATATGTTGACTGAGGGTATTACTCTTGAGAAACTGAAGTTGTGCACAGCTTCAGTTGGTCTTCTGGAGTGAGGAGAGATGCTTTGAGTTGTAGAGTTAGAGAATTCATGTTTGAAGAAAAGGGCAACACTGTCATTGGAAGATACAAGTTTGAGGAAGGAGATGTTGTAGCTTGTGTATCAGTCTCCAAGTGAGAGATTGTTAAGCTAGAGTCTGATTTCCTGCTCTCACCTTCCCGCGTCCCGATCGCGAATATCGTGTAACTGTTCTCGTGCAGACTCCCGCTTTTGCTTTGTTGCGCAAGCTTCCGCTCCTATTAGCGAAAGATCGCGACCCTGCTGTTCGCGAACCGCTCCTCTGTCGTGAATAGTGGAATCATATCCCTTCCTCCCCTCCTATTTGCGACAAAAGGCATCCACACACAACTCTCCTTTTAGTTCTAAGGCACAGTCTTTTGTGTTCTTCTTTGGACTTCCTCCGAATAGAGTAAGTGAAGTGCAAGCAGTAGTTCCTTGCGACAGAAGGAAGAAGAAAGAAGAAGAAGACGATTGTTCTCCCTTGGCTTCTACTATGTGACTTGTGGCAGAAGAGAAATTGAATTTATTTCTCTTGTAAGTTTATATTCTTTGGTGTATCTCTATGTAGAGCTACTTCGGTGTATCTCGGTGCAGAAAGAGAAGAAGAGAGAGAAAAATAAGATGGAGCAACGAAGAGAAAAATTTCTCTTGTAAGTAGAGACGATCGACTGGTGTAAATTCCTCATGTAGTAAAATCCTCTGCAACTCCGTACATGGAGGCAATTTGTCGAACCTCGTAAATCTGTGTGTTACGCTGTGTTAATGTTTTATGGTGTGAATTTTCTCGTTTTATTTTTCGCTTCGTTAATCGTTCTCCTGTTTTATTTCTATATATTACAACATAACAACTGGTATCTATATTTCTCAACAAAATATTTGGATACGAAATACGCACACAGCTCTGTGTGCGTACTCTACTAACCCTGTAATACCCCTATAATAACCTATGAATAACATTGAATTAGAATCTGTGAATGTTAATGAAAGACTATTGGGGTTATATGTTATTGAAATTAATAACTCAATAACCTCTAAATAACCCCCTAATAACCGCGAAGCGGAGGTTATTGAGATGTTATTATGCATGCAGCTCTGCGTGCGTAGTCCGTATGCAAATATTTCCCTTAAAGATGGCATAGGGCTTCCTGAACATTTTCATATTCAATATAAATAATTATATATATATATATGATGACATATTAAATACTAAAGGGAGATTGTAATAATTAAATCGCCTTAAATAAATGCATAAATAATTATTTTCGTTTAGATAAATTAAGTTTAGTGATTTTATGAGTTTTACGAATTAAAACATTACATAAACCAATTTAAAATTTAAATATTAGAAATAAAAATTCATAGAAATTTTGTGATATGCGAGCAAACTTCTTTTTTTTTTTGTGTCGAAAACAAAAAATTTGAGCTAAGTTGGTTCATTAGATCAAAGAATTCTTGAATTATTAAGAGGCGCTGTGCTTATAAGTCATTTGGGAGTAATGCAAACTAAATGAAAGGGCTTCGGATAATTACGTACATGCATAGCACCCGAAAAACTGTTATTTATAGAATTTAGTATTCAGATGATATTTTCGAACTACCAAATTAATTTATTTACCAGTATCACGATCAAATAATTGATGATTTGATAAAAATGAAAAATATGAGTTGAGATTTAATCATGAATTTTTATAATTGAATAAGAATTTGAAAAATGAATGAAAGTTGGTGGTAGATTTGTAATAGCTTAAAGATTTTAAGATTTAGTGGAAAGTAAATCATATGTGGAAAGTAAATCATATGCAAGGTAATATTGGTACAAGTTTAGAAGGCCCTGATTAGCATGTTTTCAACATTTTTGTGATTCCCTAAATATGCCCTGTAACTTCAACCAAGCTCTCAACATCCTTACAGCAACCATCAATCATCAATAAATGGGAATATTAACATTTAAAGAGTGAATGCTCACCTGAATTGGTCGGTGTGCAAGAGCCTTCCAGCCGTTGATAAATCAGCATCCATCTCTTTATTCTGATAAAGATCGCTGCTTTCCTCCGGCAAAACAAGCTTCCGCTTCCGAACCGCCGCTACCACCACTTGGGCCAGTCTCGTCAGCGGGCTCCCGCCGGGCTTCAGCTTTATATAAAGCGGGCTCCCAGCAAAGAAAGCCATGCCTGCAAAGAACATGGCGATGGTGGGTATCCCGAAACCTAACCCCCATCCCACATTATCCTGTATGTAAACCACAACTGTGATAGCCAGCAATTTTGCCACTCCCTTGCTGAAGAAATAGATGTTGAAGTAGCTCCATTTTAGGCCCGAACCACGCGGCCGCTGTTGCGACCGGTCTAGCTCGAACTGGTCCGCTCCAAATGCGACCACGCAGGGTCGGATCCCGCCCGCCCCGACCACTGTGAGGAGGAAGAAGCTGTAGAAGATGGCCAGCTGCCAATCTGAAGCTTTCTGGCATAATGGGGACTGAGGAGGGCATGGCTTTGGGCGGAGGTTCGGGAGGATTGCTGTCGTGGTGACTCCCATCATGCCCTGAATTAAATTGATTTGTAAACTGTTTTTAAAAAAAGTAAATTATTTATTTTAATTTATTAAGATGGTATGACACCTCTGTTTAGTTATTTAATTTAATTTCTTCAATGTATAAAGAGAGCATGGTTTAGTAATTATTTCTATTAGAAAAGATTGGCCGAGAATGTATTCATCGTTTGAAATGAATGGATCCCAAAAGAATTCATTTATTTCAAAATAACTCTAATATAAAATTTAATATATTTCACTTGTCTCCAATGATAATTAATGATTTTAAGGGTTATTTTGATCAAAATATTCCGATTCAAAAATTTTCATTTATATGAACATTTTAAATTATGAAAAAAATAATAATTATATCATATTTTATGAGTTAAGAAAATATTGTAAAACTTCATATCTTACCTAGGCAAATATGTTTCAAATTTATTTGATTATTTATGAAGATAATAATAAATCTATTTATTAATTTCAAATTAATTTGAGCAAATTTGAAGCCTAAACAATAAAAATTTTGATAAAGAAGTTCATACAACATTTGGATGTATATAGTAATATTTCTAATTTGGTTATGTAAGGATATGATCTTGAAAAGTAGAAGCATATAAAGATTTAAATAAACCAAAAAAGTAATTATTGATTTTCCTTTTCTAATGACTTACTAGCTGATAGATTAAAGTGCCAACGGCTACAGTCCAAAATCGGCCAGCAAAAGAGTCTGCTATAAGACCACCAACGATGGGAGTAAAGCTGGCTGTGCCTGCAAAGTTACTAAGAGTATTTGTGGCCTGAACAAGAGGAAAATGGAGTTCATTCCGAAGGTACTGAACCATATTAACATTAAAACCAGCTGTGGCAAACCGGTCGAAGAGTTCATTTGCTGCACCGAGAAAACTAAAAAAAAATTAGCTCTAAATCTCAGCCTATCTACGAAGCATAGAAATTAGAAGTTGATGATCACCTAATATGAATTTCAATGTTTTGACACCACCCAACTTCTTCTTCTCCTCCTCCTCCTCTTCTCTTCCATCTCCGTCCATCTTTTTTTTATTACTATTTGTTTCTTCTACTTCTTTCACTGAGGACAAGAAGTGCAACAATAGAGATTCAGGAAATAATTATGCAGTGCATGAGAAGCACTACGCCTCTATTTTAACTATGGTTGCAGCTGAAAAGCAACGAAGGAAAATGGCTTTAAGCCGAGGGTATTTATAGTTCTCATATAGCTAGAAGCTGTTAAGCCCAAAATTTGGAATCCAAAACGAATACGCTTCTTTTTTTCCATCCCTTAGTAAAATATTGATATTATGGGGATGTCAAATGCATATCATTCGATTAAACATAAAAATAATATAGATCAATTTGAATTTTTCAGTTTAGAAGTAGTTTAATTTTATTTTATATGAAAAAATCATTAAGAGGTGCCATTTTGAATGAAATGATGGAGCATTTAGAAATAGTGGACGACCTTGTCCTGGCTCTTTCCTTTTTGGATGGCATGTTTGGCCGGCATGGATCGGTGGATACGATTAAAAATTACTAGTTGTGACACCTAATAATTTTTTAATTAGCGCACCGAAAATATCGCTTTAGAAGGAAAAAAAAGGTATGGCCAAATATTAGATAATTCCATTCAAATTAAAATTTGTACAAGTTTAAATCTCATCGAAATTTAATTTGGATCTTTTTAAATGTCATCGCAACTAATTCAACGTATTTACAAGTCAACTCAAAACAAACATTTTTACTAATCAAATTGATCAGTTCGACAACTCCAATTTATCAACGATTAGTTCATAGGCTCAGGTTTTGTCTTGATTCATCATTTCATCTACTAGGTAGTGCGGTGATTTAACTATAGCGTTTAAACAGCTCAGCCATACGATTGTTTGTCCGTCGTCATATTATGAATTATATTGCATGTTAATAGTAAGGCACCTTACACGATTGCACGTTGCGATGCATTATTTCATATGATGACCAGAGTTAGCCACAACCTATAAATAGAAAGTCAAAGTAGAGACTCAAGCTAAACAGTCAAAGATACTAAGCCTGACTATATAATCTCTGAAATCTGAAATATTTCTTTTAGGCAGTCTCTCTCTCTCTCTCTCTCTCTCTCTCTCTCTCTCTCTCTCTCTCTCTCTCTCTCTTTCTCACACACACACACACTGATATTGGTATCTAAGTGTGTGAGTTCACGATTAAATCAAGATCCAACAATATAGTAAGAGTTGAGTCCACATAACTCACTTTGAAGAGACTAGTCCAAATAAATAATCTTTTTTTTCACTTTCATCTACTTAATGTATTTAAGATAAATTCAACTTTTTGTTGTTAGAATTTGTGTAATGGCTTATCCAAATGCAAACATCATTCATAGTGTTTTTGACTAAAAACGACGGCAATAAAGTGAAAAATGAAACGAGAAAAATTGCACGCAAAAAAAACACCAGAGTGACACACAGATTTACGTGGTTCGGCAAATTTGCCTACATCCACGGAGCTGCAGAGGATTTTACTACTTCGAGCAATTACACCATCGAGCGCCTTGAGTTTACAAGAAAATCTCTATTTTCTTCTCTCCCTTCCTCTCTCTCTCTCTCTTCCTCTTTTTTCTCTTAGCCCTCAAGAGGATCTGGCTTGGCCTTGCTTGGCTTTGCTTGACTTTTCCTTTAAACCAAAAGAGACTATTTATAGAAACCATGAGAGCGGAAAGTGGGAGGTAGGTGAGCGGTAGGTGGGATGTGGTAGGTGGGTGTGGTAGGTGAGCGGTGGTGGGATACTTAATTAGGAAGCTAATTAAATTCGGTAGACCAAGTCTCCACATTACCCAACAATTCTCCCATTTGAAGACTGGAACACTGAATGCATCACCTACAGGGTGCATCATCTACTAGCTGTACCAATCTTTTCCTCAAACATAATATCATCCACCTCTGCAACTCAAACCCCTGTCTTCATGTCAGAAGACCAGCTGAAATTGAGCACAACTTCCTGAAATTGAGCACACCTTCACCCTCAGTTGACATATCACCATCAACATAGCCTCATACCACCAGCCGCATACCACCAAGCTCTTGTTTGGGTTACTCTTGTATCTGCTTACAACTCCCACTGCATGAGCAATATTATGCCCCTACTGAAAGACCTTTTCAATAAGTCCAGCCTTGTACCTCTTCCTGCCACCAAACACAGCCTTAACATGGTACACCCACTTGTTGTTCAATGTCTTCTTTTTTGGTGGAAGTTCTGCCAGCTCCCAAGTCTGATTCCCTGGCAGGGAATCCGTCTCCTCCTTCTTGGTCAGCTCCCACTTGCTCAAATTTTTATCTTACAAGATTTCTTCATAACTCTGTGTTTCTCCACCATTTGTTTGTACAAGGTCTGGTTTTCCTGCCTTTGGCGCTCTTTCACTTTTCAGGAAATGGACCTTCTTCTTCTTCCCCATAATGCACCTCTTACTCATGTGTCCACGCCTGAGTAAACCTGTAGTCATATGTAGTGTGTCAGTTTTCTTACCCCGAGCCATTACTATTGCTCCTTTGGTAACCTTCCAGGTGCTATCTGAGAACACCACTGAATGACCACCCTCATTGAGCTGCCCAACAGAGATGAGGTTTTTTTGAACTCACGAACGTGTCTGACCTTTTGTATTGTTCATTTGCTCTTATTAGGGAGTGCAATATCAATGTCTCACATCCTCACCACGTCCAGAGCTTTTCCATCAGCCAGATGTACCTTCCCAAAGTTACTTGCAACATAATTTCGCATTAACTCCCGACGGGAAGATGTATGGAAGGAAGCATCTGAATCCAGTATCCAGTCATCAATAGAAATGTGAACTGCCAGCAATAATGCATCATGTATTTCTTCAGTTACAACATTAGCGCCATCATTCTTCTTCTTTTTCTTACGATTCCTGCAGTTCCTTTTTATGTGACTAGCCTTGCAACAATTCCAACATGTTGTCTGCTGATCAGACTTTATATTTGTTCTTCCTGTGTTTGAGTTCATGTCATGTGATCTACATCTGGAATCAACATTCAGTGCCAACTCTGCGCACCTCCTCATCCAAAATCAAATTATGAATATCATCATATTTCAACTTGAATTTACCTGCAGAACTGCTAACTGCCATCCTCATGGCTTCCCAGTTATTTGGCAATCAAGCCAACAATATCAGTGCACGTATCTCATCATCAAAATCAATTTCAACAGACGACAATCGATTTGTGATAGTATTGAAATCATTCAGGTGTTGAGCAATAAAGACATCTTCCACCATCTTCAAGTTAAATAACTTTTTCATCAAATGCACCTTGTTATTCACCGATGGCTTTTCATACATACCTAATAAAGCCGCTATGAGATCTGCAGTAGTCCTCTCCTTGATGACGTTGTGGGAAACCGATCTCGATAGTGTTAATCGTATAACCCCAAGAACCTGTTAATCCAACAGATTCTATTCCGCCACAGATTCTATTCCTGGTCACTTTCCAAATAACGGAAGATAAAGTTTCTTCCCATAGAGGTAGTCCTCTATCTGAATCTGTCAGTAAGCAAAATCTGTGCCATTGAACTTCTCGATCCCCGATGTCATCACTTCGTCTCCGCCCATTGTTCTTCCTTAGATCTGAACCAAAGGCTTTGATACCGTTGTTATAAAAAAAGACGACAATAAAGCTAAAAATGGAACGAGAAAAATTGCACGCACAAAAAACACCAGAGCGACGCACAGATTTACGTGGTTTAGCAAATTTGCCTACGTCTACGGAGCTGCAGAGAATTTTACTAATTCGAGGAGTTACACCATCGAGCGCCTCGACGTTTACAAGAAAATCTCTATTTTCTTCTATCCCTTCCTCTCTCTTTCTCTCTTCCTCTTTTTTTCTCTTAGCTCTCAAGAGGACTTGGCTTGGTCTTACTCTCAAGAGAATTTGGCTTGGTCTTGCTTGGCTTGGCTTCTCCTTTAAACCAAAAAAGACTATTTATAGAAATCATGAGAGCTGTAGGTGAGAGGTAGGTGAGCGGTAGGTGAGCGGTAGGTGGGATATAGTAGGTGATCGGTAGGTGGGTGTGGTAGGTAATCGGTAGGTGGGATACTTCATTAAGAAGCTAATTAAATCAGGTAGATCAGGTCTCCACATTACCCAATATTTCACATCATTTTTGTCATTTCTAGGTTAGTCAATAAGAATAGGCTTAGATATTTATGACATGTAACAAAAAAAAATGATTTTCATGATATATTGCATCCTCAACATAATCATAATGTTAAGCTCAAAAGTAAATAGGTTGTAACAATATCTCCACATCAATCCATTGCTAATAATATAATCAAAAGAGATGTTCACTCTTAGACATCGTCCACCCTCCTCTTAAATAAGGAGACATTTTCCTTTATCCCAATCACTTTTTCTGGCTATGGCACACATCGCCACCAATCATTGCTAACCCATTGGTTCTTTCTTTGAGTAGGTTAAATTCATCATGCATTGCCTCCAACTCTTTGGTTATAATTTCAACCTTCTTCTGTAGATCCCTTATAACAACCCTTGCAAAGATAAGTGTCAGCACCTTGGATATGATGGCTCTTAATGGATCTTTAGTTACCATAAAGGCCATTACCTCTTAAAGCTAGCCTCTCCATCCAATTGGAAACCTGTTTTCATCCTTACTATATGTTAAACCCACTCATCTTGCATGTCCTTCGTAGTGCTTAGAATTGAAATTATATGGTTAGGGGAGGAAAATTTTCATGAGTTACTACAGGTGAATCAAGGTAGAAGACTAAGTAAATTTGTTAAAATAAAAAGGCATGTCCTATTTTACATGTTAATTATCATAATTCAAAACATTTTAGAATTTTTACCTTCTTCGTCTTGGACTCTATGAGTCCACTAACTTGAGAAGGAAAAACACCAACTTCTTTCTTATTTTCTCAATGCCTACTCTTTAGGATGGGGTGCATAACTAAGAGGTATGATTTCTGATTTTCTGAAGTTTTCTATTTTTTTTTTGCTTGTATTTGACACTTTTATTGTCAGGTCCAAAGTTCCGAATGTGAAAACGGGAGGGTTGCATTAGGTAGTCGACAACTAGCACAAATTTCAATGACATGAATTATTTAAATTATTATGTAATGCTACGGTGTCTTTTTAAAGTGACACACTGTATTGTCTGAATACAGTGAAAAGTGTGCAGGGGTTGCTACACCAGTGCATGGGTGTAGTGTCAAATAAGCAAGGGTTGGTCGGATGCAGGCAAATAAGTTAGTCTGTGAAACTAATATTATGATATAATCTTGGAATATATATATTCTCACAGGTCAATTAGTAGAAGTAGTAGATAGTATGGGTAATAAGAAGATAAATATTTTTTACTGGTTCTGCTTACTTTTGTTATTAGTACTAATTTTATTAATGTATGTTTCTCGATTAAAATGACAACATGTGGTGCTAGTAGTCAGCCACCTGAGCGACCTCTTGTTCAGGGCACTTTAGGGAGTACATACAAGAGGCTGAAGAAGTATGTGTCTAGCTCTGATAAATCTGGCACTTCTTCGATGGTGAGCAACACCACAACCACACCAACACCTCCCATACCATTCTGACTATAAGGTTCATATGCTGTTAACCCTCCCACACCAGCTCCCTCTCAGGCACCACCTCCCACACCTGCACCAGTTTTCACTCAACCTTGACCTCCCTTCTCTGATAAGTTGAGCCCCTCGACTCCCGCCCCTCCAAGGGAGGACACCTCTAACACGGTATATATTGTGTTGAAGAGAGACTTGCAAGTCAGAGACTTGCAAGTCATCTTTAACATTAAAATAATTTGTATGTTCATCTCAATATTTTATGTAACTATTATTTATATTTTAGGTTCATTTCTTCTGGGCCATATTCGATATGTATCACAGAAATTATCTGAAGTATATACAAATTTTGTGCATCTCTCCTAGAAGCAAATCTCAATTGCGACTTAGTACATGTGGTTGCAAGGATTTGAGGAGGAATCATTTAATTTGAATTAGAATACCACTATCAAGTTATTTTGTTATACTAATCAATATTGAAAAAAATTTAATTTTCAGGGGTGCTTCTATTAACTTTCGGAGCATCACCAGAAAATTCAATACATTTTTCAAGTTTGTGGAAAGCATTGGTTGGGTGACATGTTCACTCTACAGGAAGGGGGAGTGGCACATTTACATGGGTGATGAGGTCTAAGCCGAGTTAACCTGGCCTCTCTGTATTATCAAATGAATAGGCCGACAAACCAACGAAGCTGTAGGATAAGGGGGTCAGAGGCATCACACTAACCATTAGAGACTCAGTCCCTTACACTGAGCGCTATTGGAGGCTAGTAGGATTCTCTAAATATTTAAAAATTGATTTATTGACATAATTATGTGGCAAATACCATTTTCTCATGTACATAGGCTAAAGAGCTTGTCTAGCCTCCCACCACTTCAGAGTTGCATGTTGATGCGTTGGGGAAAGCAGTAGGGGTTCTCCTATCCTCTCTCGGTGGGTCAATGTAAGTAAAAAAAATCATTTTCTACATTTTTTTACAATTAAATACTAAAAATTGCAATTAATCATTGGTTTTAATTATATAACAGCAGTATAGATAGCTCCGGGAGAGGCAAAGGGAGTTGGAGAGCCATACCTCTACAATCGTCGACAATAGTGGTAGCCAGTCTACCGCCGTGCATTCTTATTTTGAGCTATGGATGCAAGTGACAAAGAAGAAGAAGAGGAGGGTCTACGGCCCGAGCATGAAAGGCATAGCATTTTAAGCTAAGCTCTTCTGTGCTTCTGTGGGTGGCTCGAGCCCTTATAGTCAGAGCATGACGAGCTTTCTAAGTGTGTCAATGTTTTGAATGAAGAATGTCGCCTGATGCATGATTTGATATTCGGAGGCCAGCTGAGTGTTGAGGATATTTTGACATGCATGACAGAGAGTATTGCAAATCACCAGGGTAAGTGACTTATGAGTTCTCTCGATGATGAGGACAAGGAGAAGGAGGGAGAGGAGGATAATTAAGAGTTTTATAATGTTATCCCGCTGTAGGGGTTTTTTTTAAGAGTTTTATAATGTTATCCCGCTGTAGGGGTTTATTTATTTATTTTTTTTTCTTTTTGAGTGTGTGGACATATATTATTTGTTTAGATGTGAACGTTGACGACATTAAATTAATATTTGTTATAATATGCTTTTATTCATTGTTGGTACTTGGTTGTGATATAGATTCTGACTTGTGATGATAGATAAGAAAATTATTGTATTGTTCATATTTGTTGTGTGCCGGTTGTGAAATCTGATCGCTTTTATATATATATATTTTTATATGCTACAGGTTTGCATCGAACTTGTGTCGGAAATTTTGACACTACTTTGATTTTTTTTTTGCTCTTAGACACAGTCTGACATAAATATAATATCAATTTTCAGCTGCAAGCTTTTAATGCAAACTCCATTGTTAAAAATTGAACCATCATGGGGAGCGTCGAAGCTAAAGCTCGAGGATTGTGAGCTTGATGGATGCTAAATCCAATGCAAATAAGCAGCGTACGACATGTTCAACACAACTGTAGTTTTAACGTCGATTACATGTTTGAAGCAAATACGATGCTAAACCTGTTTGGAGTCGCATTTTCCCCATATTAGGGTCAGATTAGTCCAACACTAATAGTTGGCACAAGTTTTGTTGTGGAAGTTTGACATCTTATGGATGATTTAGTTTAATGACACTTACCTACTAATGAGATTATTTATGGACTGGTACAAGATCAAAACACTATTGTCTTAAAAACCCTGAATGACATAAAATATCAGTTCAACAATTCATATTCTAATACTTATGACCTAAGCTCTAAGAACCACCTAAATTTTAGCTGAATCTATAATAACCCATATGTAGGAAATCAAGAGTAGTGGAACACCCATTCCAACCCTATAGTAATTTAGAATAATGAAGGCAATAATAACCTGAAACAAACCTGCTCACCTGGATTACCCTCTAAATCGGGAAAAAATATTACGTCATGACTCCTAATACATTCGGAGTCCAATGGTGGAGCGCTAAGTGTCAAGTGGGCTCCACCATTTTTAAAACTGGTCAATACCAGTGTATTACGGTGAGACTCATTTGACACGTGGCGTCCATGATTGGACTCCGAACGTAAACTACGTTAAGAGTCCTGATGTAATATTTTCTTCTAAATCAGGCCTAAGGAGAATAAGTCATCTTTGAAGGAGCTGGAGAATAAAAGTCACCTTCGAAGGAGCTAGTGTTACGACCCCAGCTCACAACCAGAAGAAACTTAAAAGATCAACATGGAAAGTTAGCTAATTATATGAGTAACGATCAGCCTGTCAGAGAAAATGGCAAAAATATAATAAAAAAATTTGTTGAAATAAATTAATAAAACAAATATAAACTGTTAGTAGTTATCAGAAAGTAAAAAAAAATAATAACAAGATTTTTCTATAATAAATATGAACTAATTAGGAGCGCTTTTGCTCCTAATTAAATTATTGTCAAGGTCCTAATGCTAATTTACATAATTAACAAGATCTTTCTATAATTTTGCCTGATGGCAGCACCGGGTTAGGCTTGTCCTGAGAATCTTCTCTCTAATTTATAAGAAATTTTTAGAAGACCTCGGCTCGCTAAATTTTAAAAATTTTGAGCCATGTTCACCTAAACAATCCCTCAACGATAGCCTAATCCTTTTGATTAGCATAATACAATTTGCACTTGGCTCCAGCAGCCAGCTCCACATCGCAGCCACCGCCGCCGTTCTCGTCGTCCCCAACCTTCCCCATATTCTCATCTCCGACGACCTCCAACGGCTTAAACTTGTAAAACCTCGCACAAACAAGATAGTATACGAAGTTGAAAACTTGGAGCCCAACAACCAGCCAATAATAGTAATTCAATCTCCCCTTATTAATATCATTCTGCAACCAATTTCGTTCTGCAACCAATTTCCCTCTTTTGTCCTCTTACTAAAATGGCTAACCAAAATCACCAGCAAAGTCCCGCCATAATTCCCCAACGACGCCGCCAGCCAGAACAGCGCAGCCGCCATGCTCCTCATGCTCTCCGGCGACTGATCATATAAGAACTCCATATGCCCCACCGAAGAGAAAGCTTCGGCGATGCCGTGTACTGCAAACTGCGGCACCAACCAGAAAACACTGATAGGCACGGTGGCACTCGGGCGGTCGGTGAGGCCATGTGCCGTGGCGGTGGTGCGACGCTGTGTTTCGACGAGCGCAGCGGAGATGTTGGAGATGAGGGAGATGGCGAGGCCGACACCGATGCGTTGGAGGTAGGAGAGGCCGGTGGGGCGGCGTGTGAGGCGGCGGGCGAGGGGTATGAGGAGGCGATCGTAGAGGGCTAGTGTGAGGAGCATGAAGAGGATGGAGAAGATAGAGAGAGTAGCGGGGGGAATTTTGAAGTTTCCGACCAGATGGCGGTCCATGGATTTGGCTTGGATGATGGTAAAGGTGTGATTGTGTGAGGAGGCGGTGATGATGAGGATGCCAACGGACCAAATTGGGAGCATGCGGAGTATGGATTTGAGCTCCTCGATGCGGTGGACGGTGGATAGTCGCCATGGATGGGGTATGCCGGTGGTGGTGATGTCGGAATTGGTGAGGATTGCCGCCCGGTCCAAGAACCTTCATTTGTTAATGGAAAACAAAAATTATTATATCATTAGATTTGACCATTGAAATTATATTCAAAATATAGAAAATTATATATATTACTTTAATATATATGCAAAGCTGTGTCTATCATCTATTGAAAAGACAATAGGACCTAAGGTGTAATTTTCTTAAATTTACATCGTCAACTCATCAATTTTTTTTAGGTGAATGCAGCTCTATGTCCACAGTTGCACCTAATACTTTTTTTTCTTTCAAGAGACGAAGGACTCTATGTTGAATTGCCTAATTTGTGCTGTTCATATTGATATGAGCTAAAAAAAATTTTAATGATTTTTTTTATATATATAGGACATTAAATGAAAAGGAGAATTGCACACATATCCACTAAATCTTTGTTATTTATAAGAAAATCATGCTTGTCTCTTTTTTGAGCTATCAAAGGATAATTCGTCTTCAAATCATAAAAATAGATGTATTTTTAATGGCTTTATTTTTTGACTCGATTAGATTTTATTCGTGATTGTTTCATTAACTTTCAAGCAAATTTGACCTTTTAAATAATTGCATATTTGTTAAATAAATAAATTTAAATATCTTGTTGCATGATTTTTTTATTATCATGAAATGCATCATTTAAATAGTAGGAATAAATTTATCAACAAGCTCGCTTAAAGCTAGATAAAAGAGAATACATCTACTAGAGAAACAGCTTGTAAACAAGCTCAGATCGGTAAGATAAGGCTTGTTTATTAACTTTGTCAAATTAGAATCTCTTTTGCTAAGTTTCATAAGCCCAGCTCAATCAGGCTAGCCTATTTTTTTCTGAAGAGTTGTTTATATAAAGCATAGCCAAAGTTAAATCAAAGCAGAACAAGTTCTTTGTAAACAAGCTCTAGTTCTAACAATATCACAAAAGCTCTAATGGAGATCCGAAAGAATTTAAAGATTTTTGGCAAGTGAGCACGATGTCAAATAACTACTCTTCGTCTAGCCTCCATGCGTTATATATATATATATATATATATTTATTTATTTATTTATCATGAGCACTAGCATTGAATGAAGCATTCCGTCAATGCTTTGATCAATAGAGAATTGGAAGACTCATACATAACACTTAATTCCTATGTATTTACATATCTAATATCAAAATTTTATTTTTAAGATGAGCTTGAAAATTTTTTTATGATTTCAAATGAATGAAGATGAGACAAAGAAACGCATTATATATTTAAATCACAATGATTTGTGAGTTATGACTCTCTCTTTGTTTTTATTCATTGATTTTTCATATGTTTATTATTATTATTTGTTTTGTGCATTTTCGGACGGTTGTAAGATTTAAACATTTGATTCAATAAGCGCCGTGTATTAAGAAACCATTGCATCTAACTATCCCGTGGTTGTAGTTCTAAGATAGTTATTTTGCTAATATAGATATTCAAATGCGTAATTTGGGGTAAAATCGATAGCATCAGAGAGCTCAAATCAGAAGTTATGGCTCTTAAAGTTCGCTTGGACAGGCAACCATCACAAAAAATAAATAAATAAACAAAATAAAAATAAAATGACTTAGCACTGAAGGCACTCTTGCGAAGCACAGAATATCTCTATCTATTTAGTTGGTAAAATCATTTAAGTACTCATCAAATCAAATAATCCAGGTGTATCTATTAAAACTGAATAAATAAGTTTCATAAGTCTGTCCAAGCGAATTTTAAGAGCCGGCTTTCTCTTGAATTTACTAAATCCTCAGGTTCAGCTGATTTAGAAAATCCGGAATGGTGCACGAAGAGGCAAATGGCAAGGAGGAAGCAAGAAGAAGCGGAAGAAACATGACACGTTCTATTCTCAAATATTTTGGGTAGGAGCTGAGCGGAAGAAGGAGAAATACGAGAGTTTTGGTTGTCTTTGCATGCAACGATCCAGTCGCTGACTTCCCAGGCAGCTCTAACCACGGCTATCTCTCAATAGCTTCGGGGACAAGAAGGGAGGGGAAGGAGGATGGGGAATTAGGTGTAGGGTTGCAAATTTAGCTTCAAATTTTGACTCGGATAGAGATCATATTCAAATAAATAAGTCGAGCTGCGAGCCTTTTTTTCGAGCTGATTTTGAGCCGACCCTAGCCCAGCTCGAAATTCGATCATTAACAATACATGACTTTGACTTCAGCGAATAGCTCGAAGATCATTAATCACTCGAAAATTGATTTGAATTATGGCCCGGATCGAGATCAGATCGAAATAAACGAGCCGAGCTACGAACCAAAATTTTAGATCGAATTTTTTTCGAGCTGATTTTGAGGTCGGCTCAAAGTAGGATCGACTCAAAATTGGATCGTTAAAAACCCTAGGTAGGTGAGGGTTTCAGTTGAGATGTGAGATTGATGAGAGAGGCAGCATTCAGGTGGAAGGAAAAGAGAAGAAGCTTTTGGGATTTATTAATTTTCACTAGTTTTTCATTAAAAATTAATTAATTAATATTATACTACTTTGATTTAGGTTTCGGGATTTATTAGTTTTCACTAGTTTTTTATTAAAAATTAACTAGTTAATATTATACTACTTTGATAATAAATAATAATTTATAATTAAATAATATAAATTAAATTATATGCTGAGATTTATTTCATTTAATGAAACTCCAAATAAGTATTAATTAATAAAGTAATTAATTAATCATAAATTAAAGTAATATTTAATAAATAATTAATTTATCAAAATTCTTCTTAACGATCAATAAGTTTTGTGAATAATTAACTATTGATTAGTATGATTAGAAATAAAAATGAAATTAATTTTAATAATACTTACTAATAATATAAGCAATATTATTATTGCTAATAGCTTAACCTAGGGAGCAATTATCTAAAAAATTTACTTAAAAAATAAATTAACTAAGTTTATGAGCTAATCCATGATTAATTATAAAACATTGAAGTTTGATTAAATTTTAATACTTTAATACATTAAATAGGATTTTGCTCTTATGAATCCTGTAAATAGGATTCGGAAATCACCTCAAACGAATTGCAATCGAACAACTTATATATATATATGTTTAAAAAGATATATTCTATTTTTAAAGGTTGATAATAATTATGTTTTTGTTGCGACATGAAAGATTAGGATATTATAAAGTATGAAATACTATTAAATATATAAAAATATAAAAGTTTAAAAGTTCTGTGTTATGTATGTAAATAATTAGACTTAATAATTATATTATTAATATCTAATATTAAATTTATATTTCAACTAATAAATTTAAATTCTGAAATTAAGTAATATTATTATTGCTAATAGCTTAACCTAAGGAGCAATTATCTAAAAAATTTACTTAATAAATAAATTAACTAAGTTTATCAGCTAATCCATGATTAATTATGAAACATTGAATGTTTGATTAAATTTTAATACTTTAATACATTAAATAGGATTTTGCTCTTATGAATCCTGTAAATAGGATTCGGAAATCACCTCAAACGAATTGCAATCGAACAACTAACTTAGCGTTTGTCAGATTCATGATTTGAATTAGATTACGCGCTAATGGAATTTTATTTCAAAATTAGCTACAGCCTAATAATATTTTTATCTAAGTTTCTTATTTTCTTAAAAATAAAAAAAAAATCAGAATTTTTTTTGTGGAAGGTTAGAAGATTTAGATGTCTACAACATAATATATAT